CCCCCCCCCCCCCCCCTGGATTCGCCCTTGAGTATGCTAAATGGATTTCAGTTGCATCATTCATATTTTATATCGCCTTACGGGTATAAGCAGCCAAAGAAGAAGACAGAGAGTTGCGCAGTGCACTGGAATCCTTCCTTCAAGACTCTGATAACAGCAATAGGACAACATCCACTGAAAATGGCACAAACTCGAGCAACAATAACTCGACAAAGAATCGTTTTCTGAGCGATGAACTGGTTGATGACTTAGACCTGGATACATCAGGATCTGCAGATGATACAAACCATGAGAACGACGAAGGAGATTAMTTCCTGAAGCCAAAACCAAACTCTTCCCTTCCGCCACCACCTCTGAACAAGAACAAAACTACACCGATAAAAAAGTCCACGAATTTGACTGGTTCAGATTCAACACCTGGTCTTAAGAGTAAAGGCACCTCAGACTCCAACAGACCTGTTGTTTCCCTATCAGGTCCTGTTGACAATACTGATCTATCACTCGAACAACCTGATTTGCCAAATCATGAGAATAAAGTGGTCAAAGAGGGATATGATAAAGAATCTCAGCCTCTTGGTCTATCAGATTCTAACCAGTCCGCGGCCGACCTAAAAAATGATTCATCGATAAACAGTACCAAAGGCGAAATGGAGAATGAAGGTTTAGATCTACTTAAGGGCAATAATTCAGATTCCTCTCTGTTAGGAAAGGTTGAAGGTAATAGTACCATGCTGCAGAAGAGCAGTAGCGAGGAAATGCCTTCCAACGCATCTGTTTCAGAAGGAAACAACGGGACAACGACGTCTAAAAAGAAGCTCTTGCACTTTCTTGATATTTCGGAAAATTATACCAAAAGTGTCAGTCACAATGTTACACATCCAATGAAGAATGACAGCGCGACAAACTCGTCAAGTTCCAACGTTCAGGACAAACAGCTTGCGACAATGGAAGGTAGTTCATATCCAACCCTATCGACGCCAGGGCATGAGAAACAAGGAGAAGACGAAGAAACAGAAAAAGAACCGGGGACAACCAATCCACCTCAAATAACCAGTCCACGTGTTCCTCAACCAATCCAGTATTTACCAGCAGTTCCTCCACTGCCAACAAATCATCCAGCCCAAGTTAATTTGGCTCCAGTAAAATCATTAAGAAACCCTTATGAAAATTACCAAACTGTTCAAAATGGTATGGTAATGACCCCTAATGGTGCTCTCAACTCAAAACAGGTTTTATATAACCGTTTGTATCAAAATAGGCAATGGCAAAACAGGCTGCAAATGTATGGACGTCAATCACAATTACGACCTCAAGGTTACCAAGGATATCCTGGTTATCAAGGTTACCAACGATACCCGAGTTACCAAGGTTACCAATTTTTAGGCCAACCTAGTCAGGGTCTTTATCAAAGGTCTCGCATTGAATACCCAGATACTGTCCTCGATTCTAACGGCAACAGACCAAAGGCTTCGCAAGAGTTTGAGGACGCTTTGTTTGAATCGGGTCAAAAGAATGTCAATGATTTATTGGGTAGATCAACAGTCAAGTCACTAGAGCCTAATTCGATGATGTCCAACTATGGTAAGAACACTCGCTTTTATACAAATGGACAAAATAGCCTTCTTAATGGAAGACAAGGTGAAGAACTACTAGGAGAAAAACAACCGCAAGGAAATATGAACAAGAAACAAGCGTATAATGTGTACGAAGCAGCGATCTACCTTGCAGACCTTTTGAAGAATGGTGAGTTATGTCCATATCAAAATGAAACATGACTGATGTACGTGACAGACACCATCAAGACATGCGTGACAGACGGTAAATTATATATGAAGCAGGGACGTTACAGTAACCTGACAGACACCATCAAGACATGCGTGACAGACGGTAAATTATATATGAAGCAGGGACGTTACAGTCACCTGACAGACACCATCAAGGCATGCGTGGCAGACAGTAATTTGTCCACCAGGCAGGGACGTTACAGTAACGTAACAGACAAAGACATCAAGACATGCGTGACAGACAGTTATTTGTCTATGTGGCAGGGAGGTTACATTAACGTGACATACACCATCAAGACATGCGCAAGAGATAGTGATTTGTCTATGTGGCAGGGAGGTTACATTAACATGACAGACACCATCAAGACATACGCGACAGGCAGTAATTTGTCTATGAAATAGACGTTACAGTAATTACGTGAATGACATCAACACAAAATGCCCGACAGGCGAATATTTGTGCATCCATGAAACAAGGAAGGTACGACGAGGCTACGGAGAGGGAAAAACTAGGTGACATACGTGCATTTTTCTTGTCATAAGCTCATGTATGTCTATTGGTGAGACAGTGTGACAGACAGCTAATGAGGCCATGTAACAGTTATCCATATGTTTACATAAACTAACAATACACTCAAGCCCCATTGTGACAAACACCAAAACGTAAAGTGTGTCAGACCATTACGCGAGACAACAGATGTTACAGTGATATGACGGTCCAAGTAATGCAGGCCAGTCGCAAGGGGTGGTTTGATGCCTTATAATAAATAGAAATAACAAAGTTAAATGGAATTAATGTATTTTTTTATCAAKGGTTATCAACTGAAATAAGGCACGAGTACATTCAGCAATTGTCTTTGCAACTTGACTCGCAATGCCGTTGCGACACAAGTTGCATGGAGCATTGCAGCGTGTAACCTACAGCGCAATTTGAAAAAATGTTGGGGCGGAGGGTGGGG